CCTTCTAGACCATGCTTCAAGCACCCAAGATCACAGAATGTTCCACCCAAATGGCCCAGAGCCTGTTTCCTGGGCCCATGAGGGTCCTTTCCCTGAGTCATTCTTCTCAGTGGACCCTGTCCTTCCAGGTTACACACCCCTTGGCCCATGGTGCTAATGGAGGGTGGGGTGAAAAGAGCTTGGAAGCACCCACTGAGTTATCTACATGCGTACATGAGGCCCCATTGTGCAGGACAGAGCCACGTGGGAAGAAAAGGAGGTGCTAGGGACCTCTTTTTGTGCTCTTGCCCTAGCCCCAGAAATGTTAGAGGAGGGCCTAACAGGAAGCAAATCAGCTCTGGTCCCAGAATCTAAGGCAAAGGCCAGACAAAGCCAGTAAGCTGAGGTCTGAGCAGATGAGCTAAGAGACAGAACTGGAGTCTGTCTGCAAGGCTGGGGTCCAGATTCGAAGCCCATGACCTACCAGTCAACAAAGCTCCCCTAGATGTCATCAGTGAGAATTTTGTTCAGCTTTGTTGCCAGACACACTCTAGGCTGGACAAGCAGGACCTTATGATTGTCAACCCCAAGGCAAACCCGGGCCTCAGAGCTCATGCCAGGAGGGAGTGGGCCTCATAGGCCCTGCGGCAGAATCCTGCCCAGCGCCCTTCAGGCGTGGCCAAGGTGAACCCTGGATGGAGGCTCTGGCAAGGAGCACAGGGAAGCCACAGTGACCCACAGAGGACTCACCCACAGCCGGGGCAGTGAGTCGACAAACATGCTGCCTGCTTACTCACTGCTCCTGGCCAGCAGGAAACGCTGTCCTCTGGGCTAGTGGCTATCGTCTCCTGTTCCCTTTCCCCTTTTTTAAATGGCAGCTTTTATTGTTACCCTGTTCCCTTCTCATAATGGTTATATATTGGGTGTGTTGGGGGTGACGACACATTGATCCCTTTGCAAGGCCATGAGGAGAATATCAGATCTGAGGGGGAAAGATTCAGTAGACTTCTTGTTGTCTCCCAGGGGAAAGGAGGTGGTTTATCTTATGTGTGGTTTTTATCTAACAGGGAGATTTTTGAAATTGTGTATATGGGAAGAAGGAGGAGTGTGAGCTGGGCAGCAAAGTGACTGTTGTCTTTGTCCAGCCTGTGCCCACCTCCCACCCCTGACCTTTCTGGTCACAGATCTTGAACCCCTGACTTCAGAGGGAGGTCCACGAGCAGGTTAGAATGATGGCTACACTGGACCACAGTGATTGATTCAGGAAGGTCACGTGACAGCCACTGCCAATCTCGATTCTTCTGGCTGAAGCTGGTGGGAAAAAACTCCTTTCTTTCTTGGTGACACAGCTGCTAGAATGTGAGTCCAAGGCTGTCAGTGGCCATGTTCCCCACGGTGTGGAGAAAGACCATCAGCAGTAGGACAGGAGGCCACAGGCCAAGAGAGTGTGTGTGTTCTAGAAAGCTCACATCTCTGATTCCAGTCCCTGAAGTCCCCTTAAATTCCCTGATTCCTGCATGTCTTCCTCACCTGTTGATTATGTGAGCATCCTCAGCTTTTCTGCTTAAGCTAGCACAGAAAGTATAACTGTCTCTTTCAACTAAGCTTTGCAACTAATCAACCAACCCAGAACATTTGAGTCAAATTTTTTTTTTTTGAGGAAGATTAGCCCTGAGCTAACATCTGCTGCCAATCCTCCTCTTTTTGCTGAGGAAAACTGGCCTGGAGCTAACATCCGTGCCCATCTTCCTCTACTTTATATGTGGGACGTCTACCACAGCATGGCTTGCAAAGCGGTGCCATGTCTGCACCCGGGATCCGAATCGTCGAACCCTGGGCCACCGAAGCAGAACATGCGCACTCAACCACTGCACCACTGGGCTGGCCTCGAGTCAAACTTTCTTAAACACAGGCTCTTTAAAATATTCTCTCATTCTGTTTGTATATCCTTGCTTACCAAGTACATTGTATTGAGATTTATTTTCAATTGTTTGTATTTTTAAAAGAAAAACAAACAACTGAATGAATTAGAATTAAGTATGACGAAGTAGCATAGACTCAAAATAACAGTGGCTTAAAGTAAAGGGATATTTATCTCTCCTACATGGAAAATCTGGAGATAGGCTGTCATGGCTATGTGACAGCTGTGTTCCACCAAGTACCCAGGGACCCAGGCTCCTTGTATCATTCCCAAGGGTACCTCCTGGTCTCAGATGACTGTTCTAGCTCAGTGGTTCTCAATCAACAGCATTTTTCCCCCAGAGGACAACAGACAATATCTGGAGACATTTTTGATCACCACAACCTGGAGTGAGGGAGAAGGGAGTGGTGCCACTCACACGTGGAGAGTAGAAGCCAAGGATGCTGCTAACTGTCCTACAGCAGCACCTCGCAAAGAATTATCCAAGCCCAAAATGTAAATAGTCTCAAGGGTGAGAAAGCCTGTTCTAGATCCACCCATCACACCTGTGATCCAAGAAGCAGGTAAGCAGACAGAAGAAGGTGGCAAAAGGCATATGCCAGTTATCTTTTAAGGAAAGTTTCTAGAAGCTGCCACACAATTCCACTTAGACCCATTCACCAGAACTTAGCCACATGGCCACATATAGCTGCAAGAGAGGCTGGAAAATGTAGTCCTTATTCTCAGCAGCATGTGCTCATTAAAAATTGGGGGCCAACTATCAGTCTTTGACACAGTAATTATATTGAACATGATTTTTTTCAAAGTATATTTGCCTTCCTCCCCCTTGCTGCCTTTCCCATGACTGACCCCACAACCATATCATTCATCCTCCCTGCCAAGGAACAGGTGCTTCCCCTATCTCTGCTTTGAGAACTGCTGCCATAGGAAAAAAGAATATTGTCTTGGACCATAAACTCAAAACCAGTTGGGATTCTCTCTTGCTTCACTGACTTCACACAACAAATATTGACTGAGAGCCTGTAATGTGCCATGTACTGTGCTGAAGCCATAGGACCAGTTCAGACACAGGCATGGGGCCAAGCAAGCCCCTATTTGCTAAAATAATCATCCTCAGTGAATTGGCCACAGGATGTAGAGAGGCACCCTCTGCATCTTCCCCCATCACCAAGCAAGCTATGCCAGAGCTTGGGCCCAGGACAACTTGGTTTATTGAAGTATACCTACAAGGCTTGGAAGCAGTGAAGTTAATAGTCAGCGGTACTCAAATTAAAATTGACAGCAAATGAAAGCCTTTTATAGGTCTCTGCCTCTTGAGTTCCTACATTCTCATATCTCATTGCCATAAAAATAATCAAAGTACAATGAGGTCCCAAGTTTGAGAGATCTAAAACATAAAGATGCTCACAAGGTGGAATAAGAGTAGAGGCTCTGAGAAGGACAGTGAAGCTGAGTCCTGAAGGCTTAATAGGTGTTGTCACAAAAGAGGTGAAGGAGTTTGTGATTACCGGTCAGGAGAACCCACACACAACAAGGCCGGGAAGTCAGGTATCCAATGAAGTGCGTGAACTGCAAGAGTTCAGTTGTCTGGAGCCTAGCAGGGAGCGGCAAGAGGTGAGGCTGGAAATATAAGCAAGACCGAGCATGAGAGCCTTGTACTGTGAACACACAAAGGAGTGAGGGCTTTGTTTGGAGGCAGTGGTGAGCCACTGGATGGCATGGGGCTGAGTAGTAACTCCAGCAGTGTGCAGACAACAGCCTGGAGCCCAGCAGTACTCCAACCAGGGAAACTAGTTAGAAAGCCAGTGCAGTAATCCAGGTAAGAGATAGATGATGGAGGCCTGACCCACGAGAATGGCACTGGAGTAGAGAAAAGTAAGAGATTATAAAGCACTTTGATAGATGGAATTAGGACATCAAATGGGGAACAAGACAAAGGGCGTAGTCAAGGACTACTGTCTTGGGAAACTGAGGTGGTGGTGACCCTCACTGAAAAGTGAAACACAGAAAAGAAGCAAGTTGCAAGGGCTGGGGCAGGGGAACCCGTGTAGATGCTCCTAGGGGGCAGCTGACCACAGTCACCTGGGACTTTGGAAAGTGATTTGGGCTGCAGATGATAATTCAAACTGCCATGACCCCAGAAGAGCATAGAAGGTGAGGCGAAGATGAACGCAGGACCCGAGAGACAGTCTTTAAGCTGAAACAGAAGAAAAAGGGCATGAGAGAGGCTGAGAAGGAGTAGCCGGAGAGGTTGGAGGCAAACCAGGAGAGTGGGCACCACAGAATCCAAAGGAAGAACAGATTTCGATAAGAATGGAGTGCTCACAGAGGCTACTGCTTCCAAGATGTTGTCTGTGAGGTTCCACAACAGGGAGGTCCCTGATGACCTTGGGAAGCAGAGCGTGGCGTGGTGGGAAGAAAAGCTGGAGAGTCTTGGATTTAGGAAAGAATAGGAGGTAGGAAGTGGAGACAGTGAGTTGGAAAACCTTTGGTAATCTGAAAAGAGCTAAAAAAAAAATAGAGCACAGCAACCAAAGCTGTGTGGGAGATGGGAGGGTGATTATTTTAAAGACGGGAGACACTTGGGATAATTTAAATGACTTAGATGTTATTGAGTACCCATCTGTAATCTCATTTGGACCTCATAATAACCCTATGAGGAAGTTTTCCCATGCGACAGGTGTGGAAACCAGAGCTTGGGCTAAATGACTATTAGAAGTACAGGAGAAATGGATAGTAGGGTTTTAGAAGAGGAGACACAGCCATTCCTGCCTTCTCTGTCCTCCTGCAGCCACTGCATCAAGCTCAAGGCAGGAGGCAGGGAGGCATAGAGAGAAAGAAGGAAAAGAGGATTGGGAAGGAAGACTCACACTCCCTAAGTCTCTGTTAGATGCAGGAACTGTTAGACACTTTATGTACCTGATCTCCTTTAATCAAATCCCACCAACCTGCTGAGGTAGGCATTGTTATGGTTTCATTGTACTGAAGAGGAAGGGCCCTGAGGGTGAGAAAGGTTACACCTTCACCAGGTAACACAGCTAGTACGTGACAGCATCTGCATTTGAACTGGGATTTGAACTGCAGAAGTTGAGGTGTCTGTTCTCACCACCTCCAGTGAGCCCTCATTTCAAGCTCCTGAGCCCTCTCCTCCAACAACTACCACCTGATCTCTCCAGGCCTCCCACATTAGGCTGCTTATGAGCATTGCTTTCATTCCAGTCTGTGCCCACGCAAATCCCACTTGGCCCCATTTCTCACCCCAGGGTCAGCGTCTCCAGAGCAGGGTGAGATGATGTGCCTGGAGGAAGGGAAGATGAATGATAACACACCAGGTCCTTCCCTTTTACTCAATGATAAGTAATTTAAAAGATCATTTTTATATTAAAAATAAACATGGAGGCATTATTAAGTAGAACACAAAAATCACATGAATTTCCAAGATAAAATATGAGACTTCCAAGAAATGTCTTGCTTGCAATTGCTGCTTTGGACTCCACCAGCTCCTGTTTAGAATATTTCAGAAGAAAACTATGAGAAACAATTGGCAAATAGGATAAAGGGCTTAAGACGGAATTTCAGAACTTCCAGTCTTTCCACTCACCTTCCGGGCTTAGTTAACCCCACTGCTCCACAAGAACCTTACTTGAAACCTCCTCTACATCCCTTCAGCTTTCCCTCCTCATCTCCTTTGCTTCCCCTGCAGCCTAGAACGTCCTCCTTCTTCCACCCATTTATCTGAAACACGCTCACCTGCCATGAGATCCTCTAAGATTACAGTATCTCCCCTCTGCTAAGCTCTCGGACTAAGCCAGCACTTGTCACAGCTACTGTGCATTATTATATTATCTTTCTGTGGTGCAGTGCTTGTCTCACTCAGCTGCTTGAGAATAGGGATTGCATCTGCTACATTGTTGTGCCCTCACACATGGAGCAAGATATCTTTCCCAGCGAAATAAAAACAACAGTAGCAGCAGCAACAACTTGGCTTTAATGAGCACTCAAACATGTGATCTCAATAGAATATCATAATAACCCCAAGAGGAAATTTTTCTATTCTGTAGACGTGACAACTGACATCTAAGAGAGGCTAAGCAATTCTTACAAAGCCACATAGGTGGGAAGAGACCGTGCCATTCCCACTCCAGAGTTAGTGCTCGTAACTCCTGTTTTAAATAGGTGCTCAATAAATGTTTACTAGCTGACTTTTTCTTTTTCTTCTTCCTCTTAAAATGGCAGCAGAGCACCATTGCATGACCTTCACAGACTCCACGAAGAACAGAAGAAACACACAACAGAGCCCCACCCTCATTTCTAACTCACAAAAATCATTACATATAATAAAATAGTTTTGGATTTAAGCCACTAAGTTTTGGAGTAGCTTGTTAGGCAGCAACACAAAGCTGGGATACCCTCACCAGGTCTGAAACAGCCTCCTCCTCATGGCTAGCACTTAACACTTTTTTGTATTATTATCACTGACTGCACATTAGGCAAAGTTTCTGTCAAATGCCCTCCTGGCTCCTTGTCAATGCCTTTTCCCAACACCCAGGGCTCTTCAAGCTCCTCTGCCACACGCAAGTGTCTTCCTGAAGCTCCCCTCCCAGAACTCCCTCCCCCAAGATGCCCCAAACCTCAGAATGCCCTTGTGCCTGTCCCCCTTATCTCCGCTCCTCACTCTCCCATCATCCTTCCCCTCACCCCATTAAGGAGTTCCACGTGTGTTGGCATTTTAAAGGATGAATTTGGAAATCCCAAAGAAGCTCCAAGGTGAAAATCAGAAAAAGATAAATGAAAACAGCATCTTTGGGGGAGGCTCTGGAGGAAAGAGCCTGAGCATTCAGCAGTCTCCCTGGTGTTTCTTCCCCACGGCCTCCTACAGGCACCAGAAGAAGGCCATCAATTTTACACCAAAAGTGAGAAGATGCCTACTCCCACCCCCTCCCCCAGCAGTAGGTTCTCATTAATACTTACCACCTTCTAAATCTAAAAATGACTTGACATTTCTTTTCTTTTGAAGCTACAGTATTACACGTTTCGTTATCTTTTCAGGGAGAAAAAGTCTGTTAGGATTAAGGAAACATTAGTATATATAAGCATTTTTCAGAGCCTCTCATAAACATCAGTTCTCCCCTGGGAATCCTCTCTTCTGCTCTGCTCTGCTCACCACATCCTGTCCTTCTCTTCCAGCCCTGCTCTGATTACTAACTAGGAACCCATGGAAAGTGAGATTTCCTTCAGGCCTAACTGGGTTTGAATAAGCCATTACCAGTGTCTAAACCAGCCTTCTTAATCAGAAACACGCTGAAAGACAAGTGTCACTCTCCTATTTTGTGGTTGCCCATAAAACCCCAAACAGCTTCCTGCTTCCAGGGTTTGGATCTCATGCACCTGCCCAGGTCATGTGCCATTTCCCCAGTGGCTCTGACTGAAGCAGAAAAGCCAGAGCCCAAAGAATTGCATTACTCAGTCTCTGCCCTAGGTCTCAGGTGTCACATCCTGTGGCCTCACCAAGGTGGCTGGTCACTTGAAATATAAAGGTAGGACAATATCTACTGGAGGAGAGGAGGTTTCACATGTCAACATACACCTCCCACTTGTGTGAGACCCCACACTTCAGCCCCACCTTGGTCATATCATTCCTCCTACTCCAGTCCCAACCAGGAAAGGCCCCTTTTCTTCTGTCCACCCAGTTAATGGTTACCTATGCCTCCAAAGTCAACTTTAAGCCGCACCTCCCCTCTGAAGCCTCCACTGACTACTGCAGTGACCTTTTCTTCTAACACTCATACCTCAGATGGCAGGATGTGTTCAGTTTATGTCATTCCTGGAAGCACCTCCAAAACAGTGGAGTAGAATAGTTTGTGGACTCTGCTTTGTGGTACTTGTCTTCTAACATTATCTTTAAGTTCCTGGAAGGCAGAAAGTGTGTGCTACCCTGCTTGAATGTCCCACAACGCCTAGCAAAGGACAATGTAAACGGCAGGCCCTGAAAAAATCAGAGAAAGGACATGACATCGTTCAGTCGTTTGTTAATAACATAACTAATAATATGACTTGCTATTATTAAGCTTGTCATAGGCTGCAGAGAACAAGACAGACACGGGAATTGCGTTCCAAACTGCAAGACTCAGAGAACTCAGCAAGAGTAAGGAATCCCTCTTGGGAAAGATACTCTGGTTGTATGGGAGGTTGGAAGACCCCCAGGTGAAAACCTGGAGGCGGGCGGAACTGTCGGACTGCTGGCAGCCGGGAAGGGTTTCCCCAACGCTCTGGGCTGGCCCAGCGGAAGTAGGGGGAGGCGGGGGGCGGTGCACCGGGCTGCCAGGAGCTTGTCACGCGACGTCCTCTTCTTGTCGCCGACAACAATCCCAGCCTCCTCTGGAAGTCGCTTTTGCGCCAAAGGACTGAAGTCCTGCGGTGCCTGCGCCCGCGCTTCGCTGTGCGGACCGGGCGGCGCCGGAAAGCGGCGCGGGGAGGGAAGGGCGGCTTCGGAAGCCGGGGATCCCGCCCGCCTACCGGGCTTTGGGCCACTTTGCAGCCGGCGACGGGCACGCGCAGACCCGTTCTCCCGGCCGAGGTGCCCCCCGTCTGCAGAGCGGGGTTTTCTGATGGAGATGGGGCTGTGTGCAGGCGTGTGGGGAGCCCTGGGCGGTGCCTGTCTGAAAATCGGCTGTTAAAGTGACAAATCAAAATGGCAAGTAATAGGATATATTGGAGTGTATGAGGAAGCCATTTGGTGTAAACCTAATTCGGCCTGACCTTGTCTTTCCAAAAGGGCCTGACCTAGGCCGTTGAGCATGCATTGTATATCTGCTTTAGATATTCCCTATGGCAAGAGCAAAAGGCCCTTGAGATAAAGGTGCGACTTCTCTCCCCTTCCCAACGTTGGCATCTCTTTAAGGATTAAGTATCTTTCCTTAGGCTAGAAGCTGATTGCTGCGCTCACCTGTGACCTCCCAGCTGGAGACAATAGACTTGCCTCCTGCTACGCCCACCAAGGTAGCAGACCCACTACCTGCTGTGTCCATCAAGTGCTGTGCCGACAGGGCAATCTTGTGACTATTGTGGGAGGGACATTTCAATCATATGTGAAACACCCTCTTTGAGGGTATATAACCACCCTGTGTACCCCCACTTCTTTGGAGTGCTCTGTTCCTTTGTGGAAAGACTCTCCTGGGTTATAATCCTAAAATTTAAGCTCAGAATAAACTCACCCAAATTTTCATCTATAGATTGGTTATGGATTATTTTTGTCGACAAAAGATGCACTGGCTCAGGTTAAAGCCAGCCCTGCCCGTTGGGTGGTTAAGATTCAGGGCTCTCATCGCTGCAATCTGGGCTCGTTTCCCTAGTCAGGGAACCACACCACCTGTCTGTGGGGTGTCATACTGTGGCGGCTGCATGTTGCTGTGATGCTGAAAGCTATGCCACCGGGATTTCAAATACCAGCAGTGTCATCCATAGTGGACAGGTTTCAGCAGAGCTTCCAGACTAAGAGAGACTAGGAAGGACCTGGCCACCCACTTCGGAAAAAATTGGCCATGAAAACCCTATGAACAGCAGTGGAGCATTGTCTGATACTGCACCGGAAGTTGAGAGGATGGTGCAAAAAGACCGGGTAGGGTTCAGCCCCGGAGTATACAGGATCGCTAGGAGTGGACTCCGTTCCTAAAACATTGCCTTCTTTAGGGACCTTTTTAAAAGTGAATTTTAGTCTAAATTGGGACAACCAGTGTCTTTCCCTTAGTGATGGCTGAAAGCAGATCACTGACAGGGTAGGATGCTTGAGTGGGAGGGAGGGAGGTAAGGCTATTTAAGGTCCAGGAGGGGAGGAGCTCAGGCTGTGAGAGGGGAGAGGAGGAGAGGGTGATACCTCTGGTCGTTTGGCTAGTTTGCCTTACTCAGCTGTGTGACCTTCATTAATGCACTTCCCCTCTAGGTCTGAGCTTGTTCATCTGGAAGAAAAGAAGGCTGGACTAGAGCAGTGGTTCTCAAACTGGTCCCCAGACCAGCAACATCAGCATCACTGGGAACTTGTCAGAAATGTAGATTATCAGGCCCCCCTTAGACCTAGTAAATCAGAAACTCAGTGGTGAGCCCAGCAATCTGTCTCTTAACAAGCCCTCCACGAGATTCTGATTTATGCTCAAGTTTGAGAACTGCTGGACTAGATGGTCTGGAGAATCTCTCGGAAAAAAGAGCGCTCATACTTCTTAGCTGGCTCATAAGGTCCTCACTAATCTGGTGCCCCTCTAACTGCCCAGTCTCTTAAGTCAACAGGCCTCTGCATCTGCATAAAACTACAAAAATGTCCTTACAGAGACTTGCTCTTTGAAACTCTGTGTCTTTACATGTGCTGTTCCTTCTTCCTGAAATAACCTTTTTCTTCCACTACCTGTCTGTCTCCTATCTGTCCTTCAACACTTGTTTGAGTGGTCACCTCTTCTAGGAAGACCTTCTAATACCTCCCTTCTCAGGTCAGGTGTCTCCCCTCTGTGCTCTTCTAGCACTTTATAAACGTCTCTGTTATATCGTTTGCCACCTTTATCTGGTGCCCCACCGGACAGAGCTAGGTGTGGCCAGAAACTATTTTATTTCTGAACACTCAGGGCCTGCCACAATGCCAGCCACATAGTATGTCCTCAGTAAACGTCATGGCATGAGTGATTGAGTGGATGACTTGCATCCTCGTGTCAACTACCTGAAGGCTCAGATGATGACTTTTGATTCTTGTTCATCATCTCGTAATCATTGATAGTTAATGTTTTTCATATTATAAATCCCAATGATTGTCTGATCATCAATGCTAACTACTGTTAGTAATGCTTTATAGCATATTGCATAATCCAAGTTCTGTCAGATCTGTTAGTCCACTTGAGCCTGTCAGCAATCTAGTGAACTAGGTTAGAGCAGGTATTATTTTCATGATTTTAACAGCTGAGAAAACCACTCACAGATACTAAATGGCTTTCCTTGATTATCTATTTCTGCTAACATTATTTTGTATGTCCTCTGTGCAAGGCATTGTGATAGAAAATGAGAAATACAAAAGCTAGTAAGGACATAATCCTTGTCCTCCAGAAACCTATATTCTAGGAAAAATTAAAACTTATCCTCCAAGGGGCCAGCCCTGTGGCAGAGTGGTTGGGTTCCTGTGCTCTGCTTCAGCGGCCCAGGGTTTGCCAGTTCAGATCTTGGTCGTGGACCTACACACCACTCATCAGACCATGCTGTGCCAGCATCCCAGATGGAAGAGCTAGAATGGCCTGCAACTGGGATATACAACTATGTACTGGGGATTTGGAGAGAAGAAAAAAAGAAGAAGAAGATTGGCAACAGATGTTATCTCAAGGCCAATCTTCCTCACCAAAAAAAAAAAAACATAAAAAAAGGACAGCTGCCACTGACATAATGTGGAATTTAAAAAAAAAACAAAATCTCCAAATAAACCACAGTACAAAGCAGTGTATAATAAATCCAATCTTGGGTGAATCAGTCCACTAAGGTCTAGGGGTTTGGTGGACAGAGGAGTCATGGGTGGCAGAGTGGCTAGTGGAGACATCACTGTGGCAGAGACAGAAACTGCATGAAGACTAGTCAGAAGAGGATTTGAAAACTTATGAGAAGAGGGCCTCCCAGGAGAAGGGGCCAGATTAATAAATGAACAGAGACAGAAACACTCAGCATAGTTAGGGACAGCAAGTAGATCTGATAAATGGATAAATGTAGCAAAGATCTCATGAAGGAGAGCTGTAGAAAGTCAAAGAGTAAGTGGTGTGGCCACTACACGTGCCACTGAAGGTGGGCTGGATGGCATTTCTTGTTTGCTTGATTATTTTTTATTGTGTGTTGGACGTTACTTTTGAAAAATTATCTGTAGAGATAATTTCAGACCTAGGATGATATCTTCTTCCAGACAGGATTTTCACTTGCTCAGCCAGGCACCTAGGGACACCAGCGTTCCGAGGTCGGTTTAATCCAAAGTCAAGGCTTCAGACTTTTTGGGCCCCCTCCCCACATGAATCAGCTAGGCTGCCCTTCATGGGAGGGCGGTTTACTTCTGGTTGATCTTAGTCCTACAGTCCCTTTGGGGCCCCAACTCCAAGTGCCAAGTAGTTTGCCAGGACCTGCACTCTGGGAAAGAAAGTAAGCAACAGATTCCAACTTTTGGAGCCCTAGCCACTTAGAATTTTCAAAAGCATTTCTCAGCCTCCTTTTTGGATCAGCCAATTCCCCCCAGGTAAAGGTAGCCCTAAATGCCAGGCTCACCTCTCTGTATTTCCATCTTCTAGATTTTGGCTTGCTAATTCCTCACTATCCTATTAGTTTTGTGATGTTTTAGGAAAAATTTTTTTAATGTTTCATCATATTTTTTTAGTTGTTTTCAGAAGGAAGATTGGTCCAGATTACCTAATCTGCCTCTACTAGAAGTAGAAGTCTGATGTGGGCTCTGGATAGATAGAAGGATCAGAATTTTTGATCAGTGGAGTGACGTGAGTGGAGAAATTAATCAGAAGGTGGCGTGTAGATTGTTTGAGGGGGCTGTTGCAGGGGTCGGTCGAGAGAGAAGAGCAGAAGAAAAAGATTCTTTTTATTGATTTCCTTCCCTTGTTCCAGCCAGCATAAAAGATCAAAGAATTTATTGGGTTGATGCCCACATCGATACTTCTAATCCTAGTTAAACCCATGGGATTTCAAAAACAGGCAGCATTGTCTAGTTTACTTAATTGCTTCCTTGTTGGGGAGCCTTCAATTCCAACTGCAAACTCTGCCAAGAGGAAGGGAAAACCTAAGCCACAGATAGATTAATCCCCACTCCAGGAGCGCTGAACCCTGTCCCTGCTCTCAGAGAACCACCTTGAGTGAGCCAAGCTGGGGAAGTGGGTGAGCTCAGGGAGTCGAGGCTACACCACTGAGGCAGACGCACCAGTCATGGTATGGGGGTCCTGTGTGTGGCCTCTGGCTGCCCGCCTTCCAGGGCTGTAGGTGCTGGAGCCTTTGCTGAATAGGGACAGTGACAGACCCTGCTGCTCAGCCAGCATGGCCTCTGTCCTCCACCTCCTTCCCCTTTGCTCTTTCCACTATGGAGGCTAGAATAGCCAAATATTCCCTTACCAGTCTCCCTTCCTCTTAGAGTGGTCTTGTGATACAGTTCTGGCCAATGAGATGTAATCAGAAGTTTGGTGGGAGGGTTCTGGGAAATCTTTTTTTCCTAATAGGAGAGATAGATGGGGCTGGCACTGATTCCAGACTTGAATGCGGATGTGTTGCCCAG